GTGGCATGCACTGGTTAAACACGTTACCCGTTATTTCATCAGCCGGCCGCCGGCCGTAATGAATAATACGATTTTCAAGGGCCGCTCGCCACGGTGACGTTATCGAGAACGCACTTTATCGACGAACGAGACACACCCGGAAAACCTGAAATGCGCTCGCACGCTCGTTTGAGAACTGTCGCCTCGCTAATTGCTCTGTTTACGTAGCACGGCGCGACCGTGTCTCGTCTGCTTTTTTTTTTTGTTTACAAATAAGGTAAACAGACGCAAGGCAATCTTAATTGAGTGGGAACGCGAATTAATTGTGCAACTTCTCGTTAAAGGAGGTAGTAAGTATCCCTATTCTAGAGCGTCAATTTCCAGAGGTGTTCTTTTAAATATTCTTTTTAATCGCGAGGAAATCGACTTATAAACCTACTTCTTTTATTTATAAATCAACGAAGTATTCATCGAAAGTCGATCGGGGCAATTTTTTCGACGTATTCAATTGGATGTTTTCCATTGTAAATGGAGAAGTGTAAAGAAAAACCAAATTACAAGGGCGGGGATTCGAACCCGGGTCCTCCGTATTTGTAGTCGAGAGCGTTACCGACTGGACCAACGCTGCGCCCTACCATTAACCGTTTTAACTCTTTTAACGCTAACGTCCGCAGGTATACGCAGTTAAATATTCCTAGGGACCGGCAATACTTTTTCAACAATAAATTTCTTACAAATCGCGTACACCTCGTGCCAAATTGTTTCTTTTTTTTACATACTCTTTAAAAAAAATATATCGAACAAACGAGTGTATGGATGTTTCAATCCGACTACTTTTGTCAAACAATTTTTTGAAAATGCAAAACGGAATTGCTTGAACATTCTTTTCGATTGCACCATTGAATTCAGCCTCAAAAAAAAAAATATATATATATATATACACATATATATATACATCCTATAGGTGGCCGCTCTCGTACGCTACCGCGGCCGCTCCACCGGCATACTCGCGCTCTGATTGGTCGGGGAGCGCGACCGTCTCGCGCTCTGATTGGTCGGAGAGCGCGACCGTCTCGCGCTCTGATTGGTCACTCTTTTCTGTTAATATCTTCTTAACGAAGCCTCGGACGACATTTTCGCTAAGGAAAAAGTTGTTTCAAATCACCTCCCGGACCACCTATCTCAAGGTGTTACAACATTTTTGGGACACTCTGTATATGAATCCTCCTTTTCGGTTAAAAGCTACATAAAAGTACAAAGTTTGAAAATGTTATCTGAATAACTAGTGGTAGTTATTTTGGTCGTGGCGTCCTTCTTTAAAGAGCGCCGAGTCTACTGCAATTGACAATTGAAGAAAGAAGGCATTGGCCCAGTGAGAGTCGAGAAGAATGAATTTCGAGAAAAGAATAGCAGGCGGAGGAACTCGAATAACCCACGCCCTCGTGGCTCCCTACCACTCAGCCAGTTCCCTCTCAGCTGTATCGCCAATTTATTACAAGAGACAAAGTGCGTTCAGAGGGTAAGAGGTAGGAGGTGAGCGACCGGTGAAAGAGCCACTCCACGTTGGGGTACCTCGCAAAGGGAGAGAGCCTGACCCGGTGTGATCAATAATGCCGGAAAAGAAAATAAAACCCTGTTGCGAACCGACTATGGCGATACTCGCTCGCAGGAGAACGCGGTACATTAAATTCCGGATGACGCGGATCGATTTCGTTCGTTATCACGGTTTCGCTTATCGCGAACCATGATCCACGGCGGTGCGTCCTCGTGCCTCTTTGGCGTCCCAGCACGCGCCGGGAGGCGTTTGTGTAATCAACGCGGACAATAATACGCGTACGATCACGCGCGAACCGATCGAGAAATCGTCCCAGGCGATCGCCGCTCGTAACGGGCTCGGGAAACCGTGAACTTGCCCATTAGAATTTGTATGGCCTCCCTACCGCGGTGAAAACGTCGCTGTTGCCTCGACGGTGGTGAGTTCTCGTCAAGGTTGTCGCGAGAGTTTCTGCTCGACCGGTTTTCGAACCTCCTTGCTCCTGTTTCACCACACGCGCCTACGTTCCAATAATTGATCCTCTGTTCGGCCGTCTAACACCCTATGGAGCGGAATTTTTGCCGAGTTCAGAATTTAGAACTATATTTCTATGATACAAAATTGAAAAAAAAAAAAAAAGGATCAATTTAACACTTTACCGATGTACCCAACGAACCTTGCTAGGATGATTTTATATCTTTTAAGAACACATAAAAAAAATTTTAATCAAATATCTCGAGAACGAAGGAGCATTCTGAACAAATCCAAAATGGTTTTATAGTACTACACGCGTACTTGAACTTCCATAGGGTGTTCCAAAAACGATTTGCCTTCCCTTTGCGAGATAATACCAGCGATACCGATTCGAAGGTAATACGCACGCATCCGTAGAGGTTTCCTGGCGTTGCAACAATTACGCAACACTCTCGCGACCCACTGACACTCGACCGCGACGTTCCCCATTTTACTTTCGACTACCGAGACACCTCACCAAGAGGAAAGTACACGTTTCGCGCGGACTTTCTCCATTTTCACGGCTCCGTGGCATCCTTGGACGCGCTTTCTTGAAACGGTCCCCTGCCCGCGCGGGAAAAACCAATAAATACCGGAAGACCGTCAAGTGAGCTTTAAACTTGGACGGAAATCCTAAAACAATGCGTACGATCCGTTGTACCACACGTCGTACGACCCCTCAGGAAATACAGGGTGTCCCAAAAATGTTGGAGATTAGAATCCTTGGAAGGGGTGGTTCAGGAGGTGATTTGAAACAACTTTTTCCTTGGCGAAAATGTTGTCCGTGGCTTTGTTCAGGAAATATTAACGGAAAACCCCGACCAATCGGAGCGCGAGGCGGCCGCGCTCCCCGACCAATCAGAGCGCGCGTATACCGTTGGAGCGGCCGCGGTAGGCGTGACTACGCGCTAGGCGCTCGCGCCCATACGCTGTCGCGGGCGCTCCACCGGTATCCTCGCGCTCTGATTGGTCCGGAGTTTTCCACTAATATCTCCTCAACGAAGCCACGGACAACATTTTCGCTAAGGAAAAAGTTGTTTCAAATCATGTCTACTCTGTATATACAAGGTGTCCCAAAAACGTTGTAACACCTTGAAAGGGGTGGTTCGGGGGGTGATTTGAAACAACTTTTTCCTTAGCGAAAATGTTGTCCGACGCTTCGTTCAGGAGATATTAGTGGAAAACACCGGACCAATTAGAGCGCGAGAATGCCGATGGAGCGCTCGCGGTAGCGTATGTGCACGGCCGCCTAGCGCGTAGCCACGCCTACCGCGGGCGGTCCACCGGTATACGCGCGCTCTGATTGGTCGGCGTTTATCTGTTAATATCTCCTCAACGAAGCCTCGGACAACATTTTCGCTAAGGAAAAAGTTGTTTCAAATCACCTCCCGAACCACCTCTTTCAAGGACATCCAACATTTTTGGGACACTATGTATATCCCCCCCCTCCCCCCGTGGCTGGTTTCTGTGCACCAATTTATGCGTCTAACAAAGACATTACCGTATTTTCATTTCTTAACGGCTGGTCGGTCGTACGACGTGTTGTACGACGCGTTGTACAACAGATCGTATCGTGTACGAGACACATCTGGCTTTACAGAGTTCAACGATCTACTAGAAGCGAATGTCACCACCTGTGAGATGAGGGGGCGATACGAATCGACATCCCTGAGCGTCATCGTCGTTATCGTCCACTCAACTTTTCCGTGGACCGCAAGACAGAAGGCCGAGCTTTCACCTCAGCATCGTCCCCGTTTCTAGTTTCTCCCAGACCATGCCCCGTCAAGGTCGTTTCGAGGATGCGACCTCTGCGTCACTCGTAGATGGTACACAGCTCAAGGTCGAAATACAGCCACGTGGCCAGGCTCACGAAGATAATTAAACGGCGAGAATGAATCGAAGAAACGCGAGGAAGCGGCAAAAGTCACGATCGGACTCGAAGAGATGCTTGCGAATAACGGTAGCGACGTTTCTTACGGCGATTTATTTTTAGAATTGATACCGGTTTTTTTGACCGCTTCCCGTCGACATCGAGGCGTTACCAATCTGCGCGCAATGTCTATCCCAGCCGTGTTATTAGGCTTTCGTTCGAGCTTTAACTGTTAATTGCACGAGCTACGCGTTTACCTTCTGCTGGCAACACGTTTCACACCGAACCATTCGTTAACACTAAACCCACCGACGTTCCAACGATTTCTAACTATTTCTACCTTCGCGAGACCGATGACTACTTTGAGCCACATTCAAGCCTGAGTTTTCAATTAAATGCGAAAATATGTTACGCGGAACTGGATTGAATAATGCATGAAACAATTGCATATATTGCGCAGGTTCGGCGTTAAATGGAATGCTTGGAATACAAATATCCTTTTTGTCACATGTACGTGTGAACAATCATACTCAAATTATCTGCATTATTCTACAAAAAAAAAAAAAAAATATTTATTCATGGACCTCCATTTTGCGAAAGGATACGCTGCAGAATTCATGTACACACGACTGAATTTCGTATATACACATAAATCGTAGCGAGGCTTTGGGTGATCGGTTCGAGAACCTGGTAAATTGATACTTCGACGTAACGAAACACCGACTAAACATTTCTATCTAGAATTACGAGAAAAAAAAAAAAAAAAAGGGAGACGACTACGACTTCGCGAGACGGATGTCCTAGATACAAAACTCCCCGCATTAAATTTCACCATTTTCTAATAAACCACTCCCCCGAAATACGAAGCCAAAGAGAATCGCAACGCGCTCGACTCGCACGCATAAACAATTTTCTAACCGCATCTTTCCAATTTCTCGACCCGACGTACCGCAAAACGCAGAGAAGCGGATCAAATAGTGACCAACAAGCGACACTTCCCCTCCGGTCGTGTAGGACGAACAGAGGAGAAGGTAAAAAGGTGGTAAAAGTGGTACATCGTGGGCAAAAATTTCGCCACCGATGTCGTAGAGAAACCGTACTTACCGTGAGCCCCTTCAGCGTGACATCTCCGTGGCCCAGGATTCCGCAAAAATGTCGCCCACGATTTTTCGACCCTCTCCGCTCGGCCAGTCCACCGTAGCTTCCACAGTGCAGGCACCACGAAATATCCCGGTCACGTCCAGTCACAAAAACCACGAGACAACGTGCATCGCTGCCACACACGCTCGAGTTCCACGTCTCTTTCGCCGGCGAATGTTTTCTGGCCGCGTAACGAGACTTGTGCGTGTCCGCGTTTATTCTGTCGCACGGCTGACTGATCACGAGGTCTCGCCACAGCTTGGGGAATATACCCCGCAGAGCTGCCGAGTTTTCAACCCGCTCCGTGAGGGAGAGACACAAAACCATGTAGAGGTGGACAGACACAGACAGGTAACACGCGTGGTGTCTAGTGTCGCCAGGCCGTTGCTAAGGTTGCCAATCAAAGTATCGAGGTAGGAAATCGTGACATCGTGCCGACGAGAAAGGGACTAGAGCATGGCCCGAAATATTCCTTCCCCCCTGCTCTGGTAACCGCTCCATTCGAGCAACAGCATCCGACTGAACGCTGGGGGCGAGCACGCACGCCGCCACACTCCCCGATCAACCACCAGAGGGCTACGCGCAGGCGCGGCGCTGCGGTCGCTTGGGCCCCGGCAAACTCCTACGGCGCGTAATTCAAAACAGTGATTGGCTATTTCGTAAGCAAACGCATACTTCATGAAACTAATTACAAAAATGATGTAGCTTATATTATATATTTATTGTATATACGTAAGATGGAAATAAAATAGAAACATTATTCAAGATATTTTCAATTGGACGTCGTTGCGAAAAGTGGCGTCATCTGGTGGAATCATAAAATTATCGATAACGACGGAGACGATAGTACCCTCGATAAAGTAACTCATCGTATCGATACCTATGAAACAGTTTTTCTATCACGTCGACAATAGTTACGGTTCGTAATAAAGTCTTTGATGTTAACTTTATGAGCGACGTAAAATCAAGCAACTGCTAGGATTAATAAAGAAAATGTTACAGGTTTCCAACTCCTGCAATTTTATGCGACGATATCAATTAAAAGTCTTTCGTTATATACAATATCTATTAATTTTGCGTACGTTTAAAAAAATAAACATTCTCCCTCTTTCATCTCCTTTTAACACGTACACGCCGGCGTGTACCACCGGTGGCTCACGTTCGCGTGACTATCAGATGCCGTGTACTACCGCGCCGCCTCCCAAGGCGAGAAACATAAATAGCCCCGGGGTGAACGCGTTAAAGAGAATCTTAGGGTATTCTTTTCGTGCACGATTACATTATATTCCTGTACCTTTTCCAACGAGTACCGGAACTTTGACCGAAATTGAGTGAAATTTTACGTAAAGCAAATGTATGCACTTAAAGCGAGCAGAAGGAAACGCGTAGCTCATCGTTATCATATTTACGTAGGATATGGAACGTCCTGTTACACCTACTATATCGCGCCTATGATTGTCTATCCCGACGCCTTTGGACTTTGTCCAAAAAAAAATTGATATACGACGAAAGAATCTTACCCACCATTTCGGCCATTGCGGCGATCGATTCGTTCGAAAACTTGCTGCAACCTGCAATCGAATTAAATTCTGCGCTGCCATCAAATAATCATGAACCTTCATTCGATCAGCGTCCGCCGACGTGAGAGGTTGTCGTTTCCACGTATTTCGATCTTGACCGCTTGACACGTTTAGTAATTCGATCAGAGGCGACCAGTAGTCGATGGTTGCCGACTGGAAACCTTTCGAAGTGGATATTTCGATTTCGACGTGCTCGTGCCTCGATGAATGCACACGCGATGGATCATCGTACGCACTTGTGCGTGTAAACACAGGACTCATGTGGCCACCTTAATGCGCGCCTCTCTGCGTCAGTGGACCATGATGAACGCCGCACGCTGGCTGTGCGTTTCCCGTCGCCACTCTAAAATGTCAAGAAAAACGTGAAATCATCTTCAGCTACGGATACAACCCGTTCGCAGCGAACTCGAAGCCTCCAAATGCAACCAACTGCTCGATCCTGAGGTAAGGGACACGTTCCGAACGTTTTCTTCTCGTTTTCATCGCGATCTCCACGACATCCGTGCACATCCGTGGCTTGTTGTGCGGGTAAATCATTCAAAGGACCGACGTTCTTCTCGGCATCGTGATCTATTCCGAGTCGACTCTCTCCAACGAAAACCGTCTCGCGTGCCACTTTCTGTATACGAAAATTCGCAGAGGTGTCACGTAAATGGAGAAAGTCACAAAAATAAAATAATTTATGGGGACTTTTTTTACCGCAATTTCTTTACCAAATCTGCAAGGGACAGACAAACTAAGAATTTTAACAACTACGCATTCCTGTAACTCTGACGTGTACCAAACAGAGTGCTTTAAAAATAATCTTAGCTGTTTCGCAGTAGTAAACCACTGTATTTTTTTCAGGACCAAGGATGTCAAAACGGCTCAGTTTCTATGGTCTGGTAGGCCTGGCGTCCCTTTGCATCTTCTTCTTAGCATTTAATCAACGCTACAGCAGCTATCTCGAGCATCGACTGCAGCCGGTGATATCGGTCAGTAAAAAATCGGAGGTGGGGATTGCTCTAAATTGAGTCACGCCAAACACGCTCTTTCCGATGGTAACGTCTAACTTTTGCACCTAACTTTTTTCCACTCGTATGCTAACAATGAACTTTTCGAGCCATACAAAGAGTCACCAGCTCTCTTTCTCCCTGTTTCCACTGCTTCCTTCCTTTCTTTCTCGCGCAGCATTAGAAACAACAGTTATCGGAGAACTTTGGAAGTATCCTATTTAAAATCAAAGAATTACCTGGGTAATTTATTGTATCGATTCAAGAACATAGTTAAAATTATTAGATAAAATGGCAACAGCAAAGAGATGTTTATATATAGTAAAGCTTTAAATGTGTATTACTTCATTCTTATGTCTTGCATGTCACCCTAAATTAAATTTCTTTTTTCTTTTTCATTTTTTTCATTTCTTACAGTGTACATAAAAAGAATTAATACATACGTAATTTGAATCGCACCATTGCACTCGCTCTAACATTCATTCGCTACCAACATAGAGAAAGAGGGAGAAAGATATTGTCCTGGTTCCGTCAACGACATTATCATGTTCGCAATGCAATATGCACATTCAGAATGTTAAAATACAAATATTTTCTTCAATATAGGATGTTGAGATAAGGCCACGCATCATCAAAATTCAAGAACCAGTAACGGTAAGCAACACGTGCATGTACACGCATATGTTTATGTATTTTTGTCACGTTGCAACCAATCGAATAAAATTCCTAAGAAATCTGTAAACGTATAAAATAAATCTTTGAAAGTGTTGGTAAAATTTGGAATGAAGTGTAAAATAATTTCTCGTTTATTGATTGAAATTATAAACGTGTTTTTAAGGAATTCGAGGTCTAAAATATTGCATTAGTTTCGTAGTAAATGTATGTAAGGATGGACGTAGCATGAAACGACTCCTTTTTATGAAATTCTAATACTTGTAAATAAAAATGTACGATAGGTAAGTGAACATGGTTTGCGTTCGATCTCACCATTTCTAAGAAAACAATTACCTCTTAACACTTTAGTATGGCAATGGGAATAAACGATGCAAAGAGTCGTACTACACGCTACTGCTTTTGCTTATATTATACATATTTAAATTGTAAAGTGATTGACTTTTAAATATAACTTATATGTACACTTTTCAGGCATATTTTAGAGCATCCATGGAAAATATCACGCTTTCTGAAATACAAGAGGTTGTTGATCAACAAAGAAAAGCTATCGAGAGGGAAATGGAAGACTACGAATACCCTAATGGAAAATATGGTGTTAACGTTAGGTATATGTTTCGCTCTGAAAATAGCTGTATCGAGTGTACACATAATATTTGAACATTTCAAGTACTCACATGATAATATATATAGCAAGCTGGAGGATTTGGTAATGGAAAAGGGGGGAAGACCAATGAGAAGCGTGATTTTGACGAGTTGGCGAAGCGGAAGCACATTTCTCGGCGACGTTATAAACGCACATCCAGCAAATTTTTACCACTACGAGCCGCTGCTGGACTTTGGAATCGTGCAAATTAGGGGGCCTCCGCTCGCCGACGAAGCTCTTAGAAACCTTGAATCTTTGCTTCGATGCGATTTCAATAATCTAGGTGAATTTAGTTTCTTTCAAATAATACGCGTAAACGTCTGGCAAAACATTGATCGTTACTCGTTACTTTCAGATCGATATTTGGAATACGGTAAAACGCATCCTTGGGTCTTCAATCACAACACGCATTTATGGAGGCAGTGCCAGATACACAAGAAAATTTGTTGGGATCCACGTTTCGCATCCAAGTTTTGCAAATTATTTCCGTTTCAATCGATGAAGATCGTTCGTTTGAGGCTACGCGCGGCTGAAAGGCTTCTGGAACAAGAAGAGTAAGAATAAGATCGATGCATAAGTTGCTCAGTAATTTACTTACTAATGTAAAAAATTAATGTAATTTACTCTCTCCTCGTGTGTTCAGTTTAGGAATACGACTGGTTCTATTGATTCGTGATCCAAGGGGAATCTTACAATCGAGAAAGCATCGGGAATGGTGTCCAACCAAACCTGATTGCTCGGATCCAGCTTTGGTGTGCGCTGACATGGTCTCGGATTTCAGCGCCGCTGTACGACTTGTAAAAAAATATCCGCGCAGTTTCAGGTAGGCCTTGGTATGCTGCTAATTAATTCAAATCGACGAGTCCACGTTCAAAATTGACAAAATGCTGGCTCTTTATTCTGTTCTCTTCGACAGGGTGGTGCGTTACGAAGACTTATCCGTGGATCCCTACAAGCACGTGAAGGAACTGTACAATTTTTACGGTTTGGACTTTCATTTAAATGTAAAAAAATTTTTGGATACTCATACAAAGAACGATGTCGGTGGAGTTTCGAGTACCTTCCGGAACTCGAAGGTAGCGCCCTTTCATTGGCGTAGCGATCTCGATTTTGAGGAGGTCGACGAGATACAAAGAGTCTGTGCAGCAGCCATGCGGCTGTGGGGTTACGTCATGGCGTTGAATTCCACCCACCAAAAGGAATTCGATCCCCTCGCCGCGTACCAGTTGCAGTTGTGACATCTAGTATAGCCTGGTACGAACGCATAGGCTCAACACAAAGTACGCCCACCGTGTAGAACGGTGTTGCTAGCTCGTCGCTGCACAGACACACCGAGATCATAACAAGTGCCGTAATTCACATTGAAACAAAGAAGGTGCTGAGCTTGTTACGACAAGTGCTTATGAACTCTTACGATTAATCTCTTCGCCGATCTATTTCAAGATCAGCAAGATAGCAAATATTCGACCTTGTAAGACCAATGGTGAATCTGTTCCTTAAAGAATTTCAGAGACTCGTAAGTGCTCTTCGAGCTTGTTGCATAACGAACGTATTTCGTCAGAAATCAATTTTAGACCAGAGTGTTAGGGCGCGAGAATCGAACAAAGTTCCTAAGACCCTGGCGTGCAACAAGGAAATATCCATATCAGCGCAAGCATTGAACGAACCTAAAAGATCCGACACTTTTTTTTTTTTTAGAAATCCAGAGTTTAA